GAACTGCATTTGCTAAGTCCCAAAGATTTTGAACCACTGTTGTCCATTTTCATTTGTCTCTGGGTGTTTTTTTAATTTCCTCTTTTATTTCTTCATTGACCTATTGGTTGTTTAGTAGCATGTTATTTAGCCTCCACATGTTTGTCTTTTTTCCAGTTTTTTTTCTTGTAATTGATTTCTAGTTTCATACCATCATGGTTGGAAAAGATGCTTGATAGGATTTTAATCTTCTTTAATTTACTGAAACTTAATTTGTGGCCTAACGTGAGAACTATCTTGGAGAACATTCCATGTGCACCTGAAAAGAATGTTTATTCTGTTATTTTTGGATGGGATGTTCTATATATATCTGCTAAGTCTCTCTGGTCTAATGTGCCACTCAAAACCACTGTTTCCTTATTGATTTTTTGCATGGATGATCTATCCATTGATGTAAATGGGATTTTAAAGTCCTCTACTATTATTGCATTACTATCAATTTCTTCCTTTATGCTTAGATATTGTTATATTTCTCTTGCTGGATCGATCCCTTTATCATTATGTAATGCTTTCTCTTGTTACAGTCTTTGTTTTAAAGTTTATTTTGTCATTATAATATAAGTATTGCTGCCCCAGCTTTTTCTTTTTCTTTTTCCTTTTCTTTTTTCTTCTTCCATTCTCATGAAATATCTTTTTCAACCCATTCACTTTCAGTCTGCATGTGTCTTTAGGTCTGAAGTGAGTCTTTTGTAGATAGCATATAGATGGGTCTTACACTTTTTATCCATTCAGTCATCCTGTACCTTTTGAATGAAGCATTTATCCATTTACATTTAAAGTAATTATTGATAGGTGTGCACTCATTTCCACTTTGTAAATTGTTTTCTGGTTGTTTTGGTAGTTCTTCTCTATTCCTTTCTTCTCTTTCTCTCGTGCCTTCTGATTTGATGACTTTTTTTTTAGTGTTATGCTTAGATGCCTTTGTGCTTATTTTTGTGTACTTATACGTTTTCGGTTTGTGGTTACTGTAAGGCTTATATATAACATCCTATGTATGTAACAATCTATATTAAGTTGGTGGTCACTTAAGTTTGAACATATTCTGAAATTACTACATTTTTATTCCCCTCCATGTTTTAATGTATATGACATCATATTTTATATCTTTTTATTTTCTGTGTCCCTTAACTAATTTTTGTAGATATAATTAATTTTATTACTTTTGTCTTTTACCTTCATACTAGCTTTATAAGTGATTAATCTACTACCTTTCTATGTTTGCTTTTACCAGTGATATTGTTTCCTTTCATAGTTTTCCTCTAGTTATGATCTTTTATTTTCCTTTTAAAGAGATCCCTTTAACATTTCTTATAAGGTTGGCTTAGTGGTGATGGACGTTTTCAACTTTTATTTGTCTGAGAAACTATCTCTCCTTTAATTCTGAACAGTAACCTTGCTGGATAGAGTATTCTTGGTTGTAGGTTTTTTTTCCTTTCAGCACTTCGAATGTATCATGTCACTCTCTTCTTCCTGCAAAGTTTCTGCTGAAAAATCTGGTAATAGCTTTATGAGGGTTTTCCTTATATGTAACTATTTGCTTTTCTCTTCCTGCTTTTACAATTCTCTTTAATCTTTGCCATTTTAATTATTACATGGCTTGGTGTGGATGTCCTGGGTCCATCTTGTAAGGGGCTTTTTGTGCTTCCTGGACCTGGATGTCTTATTTTCTTCCCCACGTTAGGGAAATTTTCAGCTATTATTTCTTCAAATAAGTTTTCTGCCCCATTCTCTCTTCTCTTTTTGGGACCCCTTTAATGTGAATGTTAGTACACTTGATGTAGTCTCAGAGGTTCCTTAATCTATCCTCATTTTTAAAATTTTCTTTTTGCTGTTCAGCTTGGGTGCTTTCCACTACCTTGTCTTCCAGATTGCTGATCTGTTCTGCATCCTCTAATCTGCTGTTGATTTCCTCTATTGTATTTTTCAGTTATTATTCCGCTCTGATTTGTGCCTTTTTATATGTTCTCTTTGTTGATATTCTCTCCGAGCCCATCCACTCTTCCGTTGTAAAAAGTAACGTATGACCGTTACTTTGAACTCTTTAGCAGGTAGATTGCCGATTTCTATTTTGCTTTTCTTTTTCTGAGGTCCTATCATCTGCTTTTGTTTAGAATACATTCTTCTGTAGCCTCATTCTGTCTGACTCTCTGTGTATTCGGTAGGGCCTTTTGTAGGAGGTGTCCTGTAGGGCCCAGGAGTGCTGTCTCCCCGGTCACCAGAACCAGGCACCCAAGGGGTGTCCCTTGTGTGGGCTGTTTGCGCCTTCCTGTTGTGACTGGGCCACAACTTCTGTGGCATACTGGTGGGCAGGGCTGGCCCCTGCTGTGTCTGCCTGAGTGGCCTGGCTGTAGCCGCTGCGGCTGCACTGATGGGCGGGGCTGGCCCCCAGCCCAGCTAGCTGCAGTGACCAGCTGCGACTGCTGTGGGCACACTGGTGAGCAGGGCTGGCCCCCGGTACAGCTGGCTGAGGAAACCCAGCTGTCGCTGCTGCAGGTGTGCTGGTGTGTGGGGTTAGCTCCTGGCCCGGCTGGCTGAAAGGCCTGGCCGTAGCCACTGCAAGCATGCTTTGGTGTGGTGCCAGCTCTCCACTTCTCCAGAGCAAGAGTCACTTTGGAGGGGTGCCAGTCCCAGCCGAGGCCGCCCACTGGGTGTGCCAGGACAGGAGCCGCTTTGGAGGGACACCTGCTGGGACAGGCGGGTTGGGTGGTGTGGCTCCCCAGGGGAATGCTGGTGGGGGGCAAACAATGCCAGCAAGGTAGATGAAGTATCAGAAGTGGCTCCCGCAAGCATCCAGCCAAGCTAGGCTGAAGGAGGGCAAGAAAAATGGCGTCACCCGCACTTCCGTTCCTGGAGAAGTCGCCTACAGATCCCTGCCCATTCAGCAAACGTGCTTAAATTAGTAAGTCTTCTTCATGTACATGCCAGGTGCTCTTCAAACTGCTGCTCCATGCTGGGGCTCAGACTGAGTGATACAGCGCGCTGGCCCTTTAAGAGCAGACTCGAGGTTTCCTGCAGCCCTCCAGCTCTCCCAGAGTTAGGCCTCACTGATTTTCACAGCCAGACATTATAGGGGCTCATCTTCCCAGTGCAGATCCCCAGGATGGGGGGCGCCCCGTGTGGGGTGATCCCCTGGCTCCTCAGGGAGGACCCCGTGCTTGGGACAGTCTTCTCACTTGTGGTGGGAAACCCACCACAGTGCCAGGGTTTGGGTCCCTGACCGCATCTCTGCCCCTCCTCCCCTTCATGACAGGGCCTTCTCTTTACGTTCTTCAGCTGTGGAATAGCCGTTCTGCTAGTCTTCAGGTGGTTTTCAGAGTGAGCTGCAGTCTAGTACTTGTTGCCCCCAAGTGTCTGTGGGAGAAGGTGAGCTCAGGGTCCTCCTCCTCCTCCATCTTTCCCTGCTCTTCTTCCGTGTCTCCCAAATTTTTATGGAATGCAGGCCCTTGTGTGTAACAGGATAGTAGTGACTGAGGTAACTAGTATTTATTTATGCTACCAGGTCATTCGTGTGGAGTGTCGAGCCAACCCAGTTGGGAGTTGAGTGGTAGAGCACTGCTGCCTCAGGCTAGTATGGGGCCTGGAGTGCTGGAAGGCTCTTCTGTGTTCCTGCTCTCGGGAGGGCCTGGGGCTCCAAAAAGGGGGATGGGGTCTTTCTCTACACTCATCTCTTAGCCTGCCTCGGGTGGTAGGCCGCTGCTGTGACTTGGGGCAGGCTCATGGAGGGGGTGTTGGATGGATCAGGGGTGTCTTGAGGTTCCTCGGCTCTCTCGTTGTGGCGTCAGTCTTGGGTGCCTGAACCTCATGGGTGGGGCTTTCTCAGATGTTCTCGTGTCAGTAGAGTGGGATACCCTGGTTCTTTTCCACCTCTGTGCACTGAGCATGTTGGGATTAATTTGCACATTGTTGAGAAAGGCGGCTCCAAACGCTATTGGCATTTTGTTGTTGCAACTCCAGCACGCTCCAGAGTGATCTCTGAAGATTGTAGCTCTGACCCCACCCCTGCTGAAAAGCCCTCCAGCTCACCCCATGGCCCTCAGGTCACAGACTTTGAGCTCGGCAGCCTCGAGCCTCACACCCTGGCCTTCCTTCAGTTACTTAAGCCTCGTCCGTCTCCCAGGCCCCAGACCATCTGTTTTGAGGGCACATGTCTTGTTCTCTGTGTATTGTTAGAGATGAAATGGTGCCTGGCACGTGGTAGGGGCTCAGCAACTGTCTTAAAGGGGTGAGCACTGAGTGCAAGCCCAGAAAGCCCGGACCTCCCCTGCATGCCAGCAGCCACACCCCTGCCTAGCCTCCAGGTTCACCTACACATGTCACAGAGAAGCCTCTCTGGGGACCACCCCACCTCCCAAGTTTGGGGAGGAGCCCCTGTGCCCCCAGCCCTGGCCTCACAGTTCCCCAGGCCTGCCCCACTGGGCCCTGGGTGGGCACTTGGTGAGCCTGCCAGGGGACCTTCACTGCATGGGTGCGGCTGCCCCAGCTTTGGGCTGATTCTGCAATGTGCATGCCGAGTTAAAATTCTTTTTTTTTTTTTTTTAAATATTTTATTTATTTGAGACAGAGAGAATGAGAGACAGACAGCATGAGAGGGAGGAGGGTCAGAGGGAGAAGCAGACTCCCTGCCGAGCAGGGAGCCCGATGCGGGACTCGATCAAGGGACTCCAGGATCATGACCTGAGCCGAAGGCAGTCGCTTAACCAACTGAGCCACCCAGGCGCCCCGAACTTCTTTTTTTTAAAGATTTTATTTATTTATTTGACAGAGAGAGACACAGCGAGAGAGGGAACACAAGCAGGGGGAGTGGAAGAGGAGAAGCAGGCTTCCCGCCGTGCAGGGAGCCCGATGCGGGGCTCGATCCCAGGACTCTGGAATCATGACCTGAGCCGAAGGCAGTTGCTTAACCAAGTGAGCCACCCAGGCGCCCCCGAGTTAAAATTCTAAAGCTTCTTTTCCTGTTTTAGGAACGGCGAATCATCACACTCCTCTCGGTGGGCGTACGAGGACTTGGGCTGGGAGCATGTGGCGCGTCCTGCGAGGCTGGAGGGGAGGACGTCTGGGCCCCTGGGGAGCCGTGGGGTGGCAGCGGCCCCCCAGCGTCCGCGCGCTGGCCGGCGCGGGCTCCGGGAGAGGGGACGAGTACAGTCACGTGGTGGTGGGTGCGGGCTCCGCGGGCTGTGTGCTGGCCGGGCGGCTCACCGAGGACCCCGACAAGCACGTGCTGCTGCTGGAGGCCGGGCCCAAGGACGTGCTCGCGGGCAGCAAGCGGCTCTTGTGGAAGATCCACATGCCCGCGGCCCTCGTGGCCAACCTGTGCGATGACAGGTACAACTGGTGCTACCACACGGAGCCGCAGCCGGGCCTCGACGGCCGGGTGCTGTACTGGCCGCGCGGCCGGGTCTGGGGGGGCTCGTCGTCACTCAACGCCATGGTCTACATCCGCGGCCACGCCGAAGACTACAACCGCTGGCAGCGGGAAGGCGCGGCGGGCTGGGACTACGCGCGCTGCCTGCCCTACTTCCGCAAGGCGCAGAGCCACGAGCTGGGCGCTGGCACGTACCGCGGCGGCCAGGGCCCCCTGCACGTGTCCCGGGGCAGGACCAACCACCCGCTGCACCGCGCCTTCTTGGAGGCGGCGCAGCAGGCCGGCTACCCGCTCACCGAGGACATGAACGGCTTCCAGCAAGAAGGCTTCGGATGGATGGACATGACCATCCACCAAGGTAGCGCACGGCTCCCGTCCCCTGTCTCCCTGGTTCCTCCTCTTTAAAAAAAAGGAAGCTACGCGCCACCGCAGCGCCCTGCCTCCTGCCCCCTTCGTGGTCAGGGAGGGTAAACTGCGCCTAGAGGAGGCCCAGATGACCGAGGTATCGCACCCCCTAGAGGCCGCAGAATACAGCCCACAGCCAGTGAGGACCGATTTGGAGACAGAGACTCTGGGGCATTCTCTCGACCTCTGGCCTCTGTTGGCTGGAGAGTCAACTCTTTGACCAAAGAGCCAAAGCCCGAAGAGACTTGCAGATGAGGAAACTGAGGCACAGAGCACCGAAGTGCCTTGCTCACGGCAGGACAGAGGCAAGGCCTGGGTTGACCCAGGGCTCCTGCCTGCCTGCAAAGGGTTCTCACCCCCCCTTTATTAGCTGCTGCCGGTCTGTCATCCTGCCGAGAGCGGAGGGGGTTTTTCCACCGCCTTGTGGATGTGGATTTCAGCCCAGCAGGGACTTTAGGTGTCAGCCTTCCTTCTGGGGCAGAGCTCACAGTGTCCCGGGAAGGTCAAATTCCATCTTTCTCCAGCCCTTTTCCCCTGTGCAGGTACCAGGAAAGGGGGGCAGGGGCTGTGCCTGATCTTGCTCTGTCCCGCAGGCAAGCGCTGGAGCGCAGCGTGCGCCTACCTGCACCCGGCACTCAGCCGCCCCAACCTCACGGCCGAGGCGCAGACGTTTGTGAGCAAGGTGCTGTTTGAGGGCACCCGCGCGGTGGGTGTGGAGTACGTCAAGAACGGTCAGAGCCACAGGGTGAGTGAGTTCCCGCTGGGCCGGGGCAGGGGACGTGGAAGGGAACGAGCAGTCACCCCGGTGCTCGTGCTCAGTGTGGGTAGCAGTCGGGCTCTGGTCCCCAGGGCCTGGGGCGGGGGTGGGGATGCCATCAGGCCAGCCACCTGCAAAGAGCCCACTGCCCCTCCCACCTCAGAGCAGTCCCCCTGTTCCTTCTGTACCTCTTCAGAAATTGCTAGGGTTTTTTAAAAAAAGATTTTATTTATTTGACAGAGAGAGAGATACAGCGAGAGAGGGAACACAAGCAGGGGGAGCGGGAGAGGGAGAAGCAGGCTTCCCGCCGAGCAGGGAGCCCGATGCGGGGCTCGATCCCAGGACCCTGGGATCATGACCTGAGCCGAAGGCAGAAGCTTAACAACCGAGCCACCCAGGCGCCCTCTAACTATTTTTTTAAGATTTTATTTATTCATTTGAGACAGAGAGATACAGAGAGAGAGAGCCTGAGCAGGGAGAGCAGCAAAAGGAGAGGGAGAGCCGGGAGCCCGATGTGGGACTCGATCCCAGGACCCTGGGATCCTGACCTGAGCCGAAGGCAGACGCTTAACGACTGAGCCTCCTGGTGCCCCAGAAATTGCTAGGTTTATAAGAAGACTTTAAAAACCACAAATGTGAGCATGCTCCCTATTTCCGCACTACACTGTTTCCCACTCAGCGGTGTGTCAGGATCGTCCCGCATCCACGGGAAGATCCGGCTCACTGCTGCTTTGTTTACACCGCTTGTGTGAGTGCTTGCTTTCATGGGTCTCATTTAAGCTCCGCAGTCCGGTTTTTAAGACGGTCATTAGGGCGCGGCGGTCACAGAGCGTATGTCAGCACGTGACGTGCGCTTTAGTATCGCGCCCCGGAGCTGCACCTGCCGAGGGTTTTCCCAGGGCGGCCCCCTGAGCATCCTCTGCCTTCCTCCGGGGCCTGGGAACGGGATCCTCGGCCGCCGCTGGGGGACTTGACGCTGAGGCCGCGTTCTCCGGGTTCTGTCTGGCTTTTCAGGAATTGTGACCTGCACGCCTGTGCCTCTTCCAGGCTTACGCCAGCACGGAGGTGATTCTGAGCGGGGGTGCCATCAACTCTCCACAACTGCTCATGCTCTCGGGTGTCGGCAATGCAGATGACCTCAAGAAGCTGGGCATCCCGGTGGTGTGCCACCTGCCTGGTGAGCTCCCTTCTCCCCCATTCCTCAGAGGGGGGGCCTCTGCTAATAAAAGGGCTTATTGGAGTTCATTAGCATGGAGTGGGGCGGGGGCAAGAGTCCGTGTTCCATGGAACGGTCACATTCTTCCTATGACCCTCACTGGACACCTCTACCCCCCAGGGACCCCAAGTCTTTGTGTCATTTTTTTCCCCCTTCCCCGGCCCTCCTGTCCCACTGGGAGGTGATGCCCCTCCAGCAGGGAGCATCACCCGCGAAGCCTGCTGGGCCAGGCTCGGCTGTGCCCCCAGGGCAGCCCTGCGGTGGGAGGGGTCCAGGCCTTTGTGTGTTCTGTCCTCAGGGCTCAGCAGCAGCCCTGACATTAAAGATGCCAACTCAGTGCTCCAGAGCATGCTTTTCATGCTAAGACAATTATCCCAGGCCTAAAATTGATCTTACAGACGGTCTTTGATACCCTTTAGGGACCCTTACCTCTCTTAGAACCCAAGCTCCCCAGAAATGACCCTTTTTGCGTGGAGGCTTCATCGTGAGAGGTCTGTGACAGTGGCCTGCCCGGCGTCCCCTCGTGCTTAGATGAGCTCAGGCAGTGCCTGCCCAGCACAGCAAGGCCTGCTTCCCTCCTTCCCCGGGCCCTGGGTGCAGGTGGGGCTGTCAGTCCCTCTGGCAAGCAGCTCGCGGAGTGGCACCTGCCAAATGCCAGGGCCCTGCCCTCAGGGAGGCTACTGCCTGGCAGGACGGCATCGGGAGGGGTCCGCGGGCTGCCCTGGGAGGGAGTGACGAGGGGCAGGTGGCTTTGGCAGCATGGGAGGATGAGACTTGGCCATGAGTAGAGGGATGGAGTCCCGGGAGGTGACCTTTAAGCTGAGACCCAGGGAGGGAGAGGGGCTGTCTTGGCAAATAAGTGGATGGGGTGGGGGGAGTTTCCAAAACCCAGGGATGTTGAGAGGCCAGCGGCAGCGCCCCCTCCAGAAGCCATTTTTCCTAACCACTCGCTCCCATTCCAGGAGTGGGCCAGAACCTGCAGGACCACCTGGAGGTATACATCCAGCAGGCATGCACCCTCCCCATCACCCTGCACTCAGCGCAGAAGCCCCTGAGGAAGGTCTGGATTGGTCTGGAGTGGCTCTGGAAGTTCACAGGTGGGCGTGCTGGCCCGGAACCTTTGTGGAGCAGGTCTGCGGGAGCATGGCTTCCTTCCTAAGGTGCTGAGAGAAGGCTCTGGTATCAAGTCACTTATTCCAAGCTTAGCTCTGCCTTTTGCCTTAGCTTTCCCATCTGCAAAATGGGGATACATAGTCCTGTCTGGCAGGCTGTTGTGAGGACCAGAAGCAGCGGCCCCAGGGCCGGTCCCGGGTTAAGACTCAGAGCCTGGGTGCCCTGCTTCCTTACATATGGACAGGGGTAGCCTTGTGGCTGGATGCCATCTGGGGCCCAAGGAGCCAGGAGTAAAGGCATGGTCAGCATCCATTTCTCAGCAGTTTGCTGGCTGTTTTCAGGGTCCCAGCATACTGCCCGGGCCAGGAGGTGGTGCTTTGAGACCCCCCCTCAGCATGGGTCTCTCCCACACTCCAGGTACTCTGCTGTGCTAGTAAAGGCAGGCGCCCTTGGGGAGCTTACGCACTGCTGGGATCCGTGGAGAGAACCCATGTAAACGTGCTTAGGTTTTAGGATCAGGAGGTTAGTGAAGTGGAGGATGTCTGAGAGCTAGGAAGAAGATGTACCAAGGCCCCGGGTCCAGGCATGTGGCGCTGGAGGAACAGATGCGTCGGGCCAGGGAGACTGCAGCACGGTGAGGAGGAAGCAGGGGTGCGATGAAGAGCGCTGGGTCTCGAGGGTCGGCCGGGGCACCGGCTCGGAGGCTCCGGGAGCTGCCAGTGAGGAGGAGTCTGAGCTGGGGCAGAGGGAGGGCTGGGGGTGCTACTGCCCGGTAGATGGATCCCAGTAGATGTGGGAGCTGAAGTCAGGGAGGCTTTCTGAGGGCCAGATGGTGGGCAACGAGGAAGAGGAGGAGGAGGGAGAGACAGGGACAGCTCGAATGTCTGACTTAGGCCATCTGTGAAAGAATCAGCCTGTCAGGGGGCGCCTGGGTGGCTCAGTCAGTTAAGCGTCTACCTTCGTCTCAGGTCATGATCCTAGGACCCTGGGGTCAAGTCCCGCATAGGGCTCCTCTCTCTCACAAAAATAAAATCTTAAAAACAAAAACAAAAACAGCCTGTCGGGCATGGAGCCTGGGGCCACGGAAGTTGGGGATGCCCAGCGACGCCAGGCCTCACAGTTGTCAGTGGTGGAGGAATCTGGGGGGACGGCAAGGCCGAAGCCCCTTGGTGTGAGCTGATATGGGAGCCTGTGGTGTTGGGTGAGCCCACCTGAGGGAGAGAGACCAGAGTTGAGCACTTGGGTCCAGGCACCAGAAAAGGGCCAGGAGGAGCTACCAGGAGAGGGGAGGCCGGCCCGCCTGCCACGCCCTGATTCACTCTTCTGATCCTCAGGGGATGGAGCCACGGCACACCTGGAAACAGGAGGGTTCATCCGGAGCCGGCCTGGGGTCCCCCACCCGGACATCCAGTTCCATTTCCTGCCGTCCCAAGTGATTGACCATGGCCGGGTCCCCACCCAGCAGGAGGCTTACCAGGTGAGCAGGCGGTATTCCCCTCACTGCGGCGGGCCCCTCAGCGGGGAGGCCCAGGAACCTGTGTCCTGCCCTCCAGCTGCTTCGTGGGTCCGAGTGGGGAGGGGAGAGGAGGAGCCTAGAATCTTCCTGAGGCCATGCCAGGAAGAGCAGGAGGCAGTCCACATGGTACGTGGAAAGGTGAGACCTGCCCCAGCTCAGGGCAGATTCTTTTGCGATCCACACCGCTGGAAATGGACAGATGTGGTCAGTGGCCCTGGGGTTTCCAGTCCCTGAAAGTTGAAGACAATCAGGTATAAAGCCAGGAAGCAGGAGTGAGTGATTCAGGGAGGTGTTTTTTGATCACTTGTGGAAGCGGGGGAGAGGGTAAGATGCAGACAGAGGCTAACACGTGTCTGCTCTTAATTGGCTTTGGATGTGGAGCCCCATCCCCCGGGAAACTCCCGGGGCCTGAGCTGCCCAGTAGGGGGGTTGAAGGAGGTTATGCTTCCTCCACTTCTTCTAGGTGCATGTGGGGACCATGCGGGGCACGAGCGTGGGCTGGCTCAAACTGAGAAGTGCCAACCCCCGGGACCACCCTGTGATTCAACCCAACTACTTGTCAACAGGTAATTCACCACCCCCTTGGTCTCCCCCAGGCCTGGGCTTGCCAGGTCATTCACTCAACGAATGAATGCCTTTATGGGGTTCGCATTTGTCACTGAATCTTACCCCTGAGACACAAGTCACCCTCTGCCCCCCTCACACACTGCGTGCCCTGGGTCGCTTGAAGTAACCTGGGTGTGTCCTTTGACACAGCAGGAGAGAGCTGCAGCTTTCAGAACAACCTGCCAGAAGGTGCAGGGAGATCTGGCTGTGTGCACAGAACATCTGTGCTGAGGTTACTCTGAGCATCCTCCTGCAAAAGCAGATCACATTCCTGGGCCTGCCGCTTGGCCTGCCGCAAAAAGGAGCACACCCCATTGCCCAGCAATGACTCGGGGCGTGCTCACAGCCACAGTGGCAGGAGGCAGGCTGTGTACTCTCACCCTTGATTGAAACCCAGGGCCTCTGGGGCCGGATGTGTCCGCTGAGGATGCTGCCTGTTTGCCCTCACGGGACTCTGCTTGGTTGCGGTCTAACTGGCTGGGAGTAGGTGACAAACGACCTGGTGGCTCCGTGTCCCTGAGGTTTTCCACCCCAAGCACCCTGGTCTGTGGATCCACCAGGGCCGTGGGATCAGAGGGGTGGTAGGTGCTGACCTGTGTCCCCTCGGGCAGCTTACCGAGCCTCTCCGGGCTCAGAATCCGCTGGTAAGAGGAGTCGCCTCACCTACCTCTTTCTCGTTGACAGAAACCGACATTAAGGACTTCCGACAGTGTGTGAAGCTGACCAGAGAAATTTTTGCCCAGAAAGCCCTGGCACCATTCCGGGGGAAGGAGCTCCAGCCAGGAAGCCACGTGCAGTCAGATAAAGAGATAGATGCCTTCGTGCGGGCAAAAGCAGACAGCGCCTACCACCCCTCGTGCACCTGCAAGATGGGCCAGCCCTCTGATCCCACGGCCGTGGTGGATCCACAGACCAGGGTGCTTGGGGTGCAGAACCTCAGGGTGGTCGATGCCTCCATCATGCCCAGTGTGGTCAGCGGCAACCTTAACGCCCCCACAATCATGATCGCGGAGAAAGCAGCAGACATCATCAAGGGGCAGCCTGCACTCTGGGACGAGGACGTCCCTGTCTACAAGCCTGGGACCCTGGCCACCCAGCGGTGAGGCGGTCACTGCCCGAGAAGCCTCCTGCCAAGCCAAGAGGGTCAGCACAGCCCCTGCCCCCCCGTGCCCTTTCCTGAAACTGTCCAGAATATTACAGTTCAGTGGCTGAGAATGTGTAATTGCTTAGGCTGGAAGACCGGTATCAGGCAGCGAAACAGGTTTCTTTTCCCCAGCATTTTCCTGTGGGCGCCCCCCCCCACCACCACCCCCTGAAGGGGCAGTAGAGGGGACTGGGGGGGCAGGGCAGTGGAGGAGTATGGCTAACTGCTGCCATGGCCTTATCTTATACTCCATGGCACTCTGCAACCCAGGGTCTTGGTCGGACATGAGGGAAGCGGTTCTCTCCCAGGGCTCCCTTTTAATTAAGGCAAGCCGCTCCAGAGGCTGGGTGCTGCCTAGACGGCACGGGGTTCTCGCGGTGGGGGGGCATCCTCTGCCTCAGGCTGCCGGCTGTAGCTGAGGCCCGTGCCTAAGCCTCCAGTGTCCCCGTTCAGAGGGAAGGCTGCCTGCCTGAAGAAACACAGGCTTCTTTCTCTTCTGCTTCCTGAGTCCCCTCCCAGTTGGGTCACTCTGAGGGCCCACCTCTCCAATGCTCTGGTTCTTACTAAGCACAGCCCGATTTCTGGACCTTGTTCAGAGAAGAGTCTGGAGAGTCTCTTCACTACCATAGGTTTCCTGATTTTGCATTTTAAATGGTTTTCCTGTTACCAGGGAAACCTAGAAACCTAGAGCAAACCCCACAGACCAGACCTCTGCTCCAAGCCGAAGCAGCTAGTCCAAGAGGATGCTTTCCTGTCAGCCTGGGGAGGCAACTCGCAGTGGACGAAACTGGCTAATTCGTATTCCGCAGCCATCCACAGGAACAGACTGGGATGGAGCTGAGGCTGATGGAAAAAAACAGTTGAGGCACACTATATACCTGATCCCGTGAAAATAAATGGGCAAAGGTTTGAGTTTTGGGGGGGGCGGGGGGAAACCAGATACAAGTAGCATTTAAAATAGCTCTTTGATCTTTCAACTTCCTATAATTCAACAACGTAATCCAGTAACTGATTTTTGAATGGAGATGCCTTAGCCAGACTATTCTTACAAGGTAATGAAAACTAAATGAATTTTGGATTGAAGATCTCTGAAGCCACCATCTGCGGCAGGGGAGAAAAGACTTGTGCCCTGGAAACCTGCCCCGGAACAAGGAGGGGAGGGAAAGGGGGCATTCCAGGCTTCGCCCAGGATCAGAGTGGACTGAGATGGCTTGGAGGCCAGACAGCCACAGCTTGCCATTGTAAGACTTTCCAGAAAGATGGGAAGAAGAAAACCATCACACCTCTCCTTCCTTCACAAATTTGAAATAGCTCTGGTTTCATCTTACCTGCCTCTTGCTTTATTTTCTGTTCCAAGGGAGGGTCTAAGAGGGCCAAGAGAGAGGTTCCCCATCTGTCCCGCAGCCGTGGTCCACATCCACCATACTCGGGGTCCCGGGACCGCCTGCAGGGGTGAAAGAACAGTGGGGCAGTGCGGGCCCCAACCCCCGCCCCCCACCCCGGCTCAGAGGGCCAACGAGTAGCAAGTTGGGTGGGTAGAGGGGTCCCAGGCCTGCGTGTGGCCGTGGCGCAGCCATGCCGTTCCGTGGTCTCTGTGTGCTGCGGTGGTCTCCGTCTCTGGGACAGCGGCTGGCTTGCTACTGTGCCTGCATCATAAGCAGAATGACCTATTGTCAGAGGAGGTGCGTCATGCTGTATGGGCGGCCAGATGACATCTGGGCCCCTCCCCTACTCTTGGTCACTGAGCCTTGTTCCACACGATCACGCAATTTAGCCATGTGCAGAAATGAGTTCTCAGAAGAGAAGATGGTGCGTGTTCTACACCCAGGCCCCACCAAAGTCAGAGCGGAACACTGTGCTGTTGGGGTTCAGCCACAGGGCAGAATATTGAGCTTAGGGGTGGCGGCTTGCTCGAGCCCTGACAGCTGAGTGTGCCGCCGTCTGGCAGAGTGGAACCTTGGCCCGCGTCGCTGCAGTGGGCTGTCACCAAGTTCCACTGCCATGAGGGAACCCTGGACCTCAGAAAGAGGGCTGTTGGCTGAGGAAGCCCGAGAGGGGAGAAGAGTGCCCATTGGGTCAGGCAGCCCTTGGGGCACCCAGACACCAAGCCAGCACTCAGCCCTGGGAGGAAGCTTATTTAAGCCCCTTAGCAAAGAGCCCATGATACTAACCAATGGAAGAATGTACTTTGCAAACAATGGTTGAAAACGTGTAACCGAGCTGTGTTTGTACCTGGATCAGGCTCCGAGCATGGACCCCTTCGAAGAAGCCTGTGTGTTCCAGCTGCTGCACAAGCAGAAGGTTCTTCCAGGTTGAACGGGGGACAGAAGGCACAGCTGGAGGAGTGGCCCGCTGGCAGCTGGACCAGGAAATGGCAGGCCCTGGTACCCAGCTCCCTGCTCCTGGCTCCTGGACGCCCAGCCTTCCTGCTTCCAGGGCCGACTGTGGGAATCCTCATTTCCATAAATGCAAATAGAGCCTGTCTCCAGCCAAACCCTCTTCCTCCCCACAAAGGCTGTTTCCTGTCTCCACCAACTTAACATCAGATCTAATACCTACATCCTTTTCTCTTAAAAAACCAGAAGAAAGCGCACGCCCTCTCCACCAGCCCAGTCTTGAGAGGCGAGCAGCCTCCCCAGTCCTCTCTCCTGCCGCCATCCCCACTGGGTGTTTGCAAGGCCGCTCTCGCTGGTGCTCCCACGTTGGAGGCAGAGGCCCCAGGCCTGCTCCCCATTCTCCTGCCTTCTCAGGTCCCCAGGAAAGAAGGACTATCCTTTTGGAGAAATAAAAACTTTATCAACACATGCAAGCCTCGCTGGTGTCTGTTTTTGAGTCAGGGAAGGAACTGGAGCTCTGTCGCTGACCGGTTTTTAGAACAAACCTACAGTCCATCATAACAATGGAAACCTTTGTAGGAAAACAGACCATTGGCAAGGACACTGAGGACCATAAAATATAAACAGTGTGAAGTAAACTACCCTGGTTCCTTTCATAAACGTGGGGTCAGCAGTAAGGCAGGTAAAGCCCACATTGTGTACCGAGAAGCTTCCTGGCTTCGGGCAGGCTCCAAAACGGGGGAATAGAGCTGGAAAGCCCCGTCTGGCCTGGCCATCTGGATGGAAACCGGAGAAAAGGCTGTTAACAAGGTTCCTGCTGGTTGGGAGTTCAATCAGAGCTGCCCTTTCCATTTGTGATACGAAAAAACACCAAATGTACTATTCCTGGGGACACAACAAAATGACCTTTTTTAGGGGGTTGGGAGGGGAGCCAAACAGGAGAGAGAGAGTTCATCTTAAAACTTTCCTGAAGCAAAGGGGAAGAAAAAAAAAAAACCACGACCACCACATGGCTCGACAACTTCAAACTGGTCCTACAAAGAACGTTTTCACGGTAGATGGGAGGTTGAGCGCTGGCCTGTTAGGATTGCCACAGCCTGGACGCATGCCAGTCTGTAAGTACCGCTGGGGAGAAATGGCAGCCTGCACCAGAAAACCCCATCCTGGTAGGACTGCTGCTGAGAAGCCACACAGTGAGAACAATGTCCAGCAGAGGTGATGGGGAGGGTGGCTTAGCCCCTGAGGAGAAACTGTGCTCTCTCTGCAGCTGGTGCTGAGTGACCGTGGGCCTCAAGGAGGGAGAGATGAGGATAAGAGAAGCTACCCAGTCCCAGAACTGCCCTCACCGAGTGCCCGCCCCTTCTGGAGCGCTCACTGGCCCACACCAGTTCTTTGCAACGAGAGCCCCCTCATGCCATAAAAATTATTACACAGTTTTATTCTGAAGAACATTTTGCATTTTAATTAAAAAAAATTTATGTCAGGAAATAGTCATTTACAAACCTTCAAGTGTTTTTGCCTGGATCTGGAGTAAGAATGTCTTAAGAAGAGGTTTGTAAGGTCTTCATAACAAAGTATTGTTATTTACAAAAAAAAAAAAACCCAAAAAGCAAAAAACAAACCCAAAACATTAACAGGTTGTCTAGGTAATATTTAAAAATTTTGAACCAAAAAACTGCTAATTGTCTTTTTTTTTTTTTTTTTGACCTCAGGGAATCCCTGCCAAGGTAACTTGACAAAGTCGGCATGATTCCTTGAACAGGAAGGGAAGCCTTGGTGGGTCTCGTGGTCCAAAAGTGGGTTTTCATCAGGAAGCACAGCCAGAGTGTGCGTACGTTCTAATGAAAACTTCAGCCCTCATTCAGTTGCATATAAAAGCCCTCAAAGAGAACACACAGTACAGCAGTGTTGTGTAAAAAGGCAACAATACGACTTGGACAGACCCGACGTTCTAATCCTGCAGATCACGGCTTTGCCCCTCCGCCCCCCTTCCCCAGCACCCCTATTTAAGACCAGCAGTAGCATCCATCCTCAGGGAGCGAGGGCAGAGGAACTTCATTCCCCTGTTCGATTCTTTCTACACCAGAGATGCAAAATAGGTCTTGTGGGGGCAGCGGGGATGCCGCTGTGAATGCCACAGGGTCAGAGGAACCAGCTCGACCGATGGGACGAGCTTAGCAGAGGGTCAGTAAAATCAAAGACAGGTGCGGCCTGCGGTGGACCAAAGGTACACTGTCAAATCCTGGAACTCTTGCCCAAAGCAAAGGTTGTTAAGGAGTCATCTGGTATATCTTGTGTAAAGGTAGATTTAGAGTGACTCAAAATATTTTTAGAAAAAATCTCTATAGTGTCAAGTTCTTTTGAACTTAAAATTTCATCTCCAAAAGATTTTCACGGAATAGATGAGAATTGGCTCTATTTCTCCTACTTCTGTACAGCCCGAGTAAAAATGCTAATAATACCTAGATTTCAGTGGGGAACTACAATTATTAGGACCCATGGATATTGCTGCAGTTCAAATACGGTACAATAATTACAAAATATAGACCATCTCTTTACAAATACAAATTATAGTATATTACAAGTCATGTACAGTAAATCTATAATTTTTAAACAAACTAGCGTATCTAAGTTTACCTGGTTGCGAGTGCATGATTATTCCAGTTTACAGTTGCCCTTGAGCTGACAGTCAGAAACCGACTGAGTGACACTCTTTCTTGTAAACTGGGGTCACATAACAGAAAACCTCGTGTCTAAGGTCCTGCTCCCCTCTCCAGATGACGGCTGGTAGGTAGGTCCTGATTCACACACTGTATTTCAGAACAGCTAAACAGAAACCGGGAAGCAGTATGTTTGGGAGGAAAGGGTTTAAAAATGGATATGCTGGGCCCAGTGAATGTCTGATATGCTAGACCGATGGCTGAGGTAATGACACAGGTGTGGTGATCGTCATCACCTTGACCTTCCCCACCGTGCCAGCAGGTGGGTGGGCGCAGGGGAGAGCCCCGGGGGTGCCCTGGACAAGCGGGCAGGGCTTGTCCCACCTCCTCACGGGTCCTCCCCTGAGGGCTGGACCTGCTGCTTCCCACAGCTGGGGCTGGGCACGGGGGAACGACTGTCCCCTACCAGGTTTATGGCTTCCGTGAGGCATGACATCACTTGTACAAAAGTCTAATTGAACATGGACTCCACACTAGTGCCTAACCTTTCCTAACTACGAGGCACTTTTTCCCTGGCCCTCCGGCGCCCCACCTGAGGCCAGAGCCAGTCTGCCCCTCCCTGGGGGCTACAGGGTGGTGATGCAGATCATTTCATCTGCCAGGTCTTCCTCATCTCTTCCGGGGTCAGGCTCTTCATCGCTATAGCCTGGCCCGAAGTCCTGGAGCTCATAGTCCTGCCGGTGGGAGACGGGGCCCACGCCCCCGTTAGCCTGGGGATACACCGTCCCGTTGAGCAGGTTGCTGGCTGCACTTTCCATCTCGTCGATGGTCAGGTCGCAGGCATCGGCGATTTCGTGTTTTGTTGCCGATACAAATTTTGGGTCCCTTGCATACCGTCCTAAGCCTTCAGATATCAGGACCTGTACAGGACAGAGGATCGACGGCATGAATGCGTTACGAGGCTTTGCCGGGAAAATGACAGAGGAGCCCCCTCAGGCACTAACCGCAAGATGTGCTTTTGGGACTCAACCAGTCCCATTCGCTAGACCTCACATGTGACAAAATGTGAATGGCTTGGAAATGTCACAGAGCTTGAACGCTACATAGGGCCCAACAAGAGTGAGCCCTAGATTTCAGGAGGAGCTGGTGATACTGGCAGGCCCAGCACGTGTAATCCTAGGTACAGCTCCGCTAGGAGAACAGGCAGTGGCCTGTTTTTTTTTTTTTTAAGATTTTATTTATTTCACAGAGAGAGAGTGAGAGAGAGAGAGCACGAGAGGCGGGGGAGTGGGAGAGGGAGAAGCAGGCTCCCCGGTGAGCAGGGAGCCCGATGGGGGCTCGATCCCAGGACCCTGGGATCATGACCGGAGCTGAAGGCAGACACTTAAAGACCGAGTCACCCAGGCGTCCCAGTGGCGGTATTCTTACACTTGCGCTGTACGAACCATCTTTGCTTCAGAGGAATGGGTGCGATCCAGAGGAGAAGGGACCCAGCTCGGCTCCCAAGCCCCCCCACCCTCAGAACCACCACGGCGCCTGCGTGTCCCCCTCTGCTGTGCCGGATGGCACACTCACCGCCTCCACCAAGCTGTCTGCGCTCCTCTGCTTGTCACTGTTCTTGTTGCGGAAGCTGCTGGGGACAGTCAGGCTGGCTGGTGTGAACGTTCGGTACGAGATGCCAGGCTCGTCCGTGTACCAGGAGCTCCGGTGCAGGGACGGCAGGCTGCCATTGACCTGGTCCAGGGCCTCCGGCCGCTCCACCTGGATCAGGGGCGCGTAGCACGGTGTCCAGTCCCGGTACGGAGGGGTCGCCGGAGGGGTGGCCCATGACCGGGTCGAGTGGCTCGGTGAGTACTTCTGGGCTTTACTGGAATCCAGGCCCGCAACTGCCATGATCTGGGGAGAGACGAAAGGAGGCGGGGCCAGAGGTCCTCAGGTGCGGGCCCCAGGCCTCCCCATGCACACCAAGCAGGAGGCACGGATGCATGGGGGCGGCCACAGATAAGGGACAAGGACTTGAAAAGGACACAGGCAGTAAAATCTGGCTTTCTGGCAGACTGTTTTCAGTTTCCCCAAATCCATAATGCATTCTCATGACTGTTCTTAAGGAGGCATCAGCCGCTAATTCGTGAAATTGCAGCCGAGTGGTGGAGAATTAGGGAAGACATTCACCCTGGGCTGTATGAACACACCACCCAGTTCGCTCTCGGTTTAAATACGGAAGGACATGAGGGGCAAACGAGTCATTCCCAGCCCTCGGAAGGAACACAGTCCTCTCTCCTCTAGTGCCATTCATCACACTTGCCAGCCTCCGGTCTGCTCTGGAGCTCTGGGCACAAGCCCTGCTGCCCCTGCCCCCAGCTGTGCCCCAGCAGCCACCCCGGCATTCCCTCTCTGCACGGAGCGCCACGGAGGCCCGTGACCCAACCGGAAGCCAGGGCCAGCCGCGGGAGGCAGTGCAGACACAAATCTGGCCCTCGTGGGGGCCGGACAGCAGAGGGAGGGGCGTTCGCATGCACGTGCCCGTGGAGACTTCCAGGCCTACTTGGTTCATGGCATTTGATGGCTGGGCCTTCCCACGCCTTGTCCTTCCACAACAAAGCAGGACACGAATAAAAATTAATATAAAAACTGAAGGCAGAAAAGTGACAAGTTGGCGGAGAGACCTGAATGGAACACCTGAAATGGAAGCTAGTGCTCGCGTGCTCAGGATGCCGGCAGTAAGCAAGCTGGGGGTGAGCTGGCTCTGCACGTTTACGGACCGGGTGCTCCCCGCATGCTCCCCGCACGCCTTCCGGCCCCTGACACATGTACACAGTGGACTGCATCTCTGATGTGCTCTTTGCCGGAGGAAAAAGTGCCCTCTTCTTGCCCTTGAGGCAAAGCCCTGGTGAGGGGGCTGCAGCCCCACCCTCCCTCCAGGCCCTGGGCTCCCTCCTGTCCAGCCACCTCACCATGGACGGGTCCTTCTCCCTGGACCGCACTCTCTCCTTGCCCAGGGTCAGAGGCTCACCCACCCGTGACCACGGCGCCCTGCCCACAAAGGGCTCTACAGACATGTCTTAATGAAGGAACCATGTCTCAGAGCAGATAAAGGGCAGCACTGACTGTTCAGGATCAGGCAAGCGGCCACCCCTCCCTGGGTCAGGGACTGTACCAGGCCCCGTCTTCAGTGCCCAGGAGAGAACACAGTGTGCACCACGGCCGAGGGCCCAGCTTGGGAAGCTGGCAGCCTTGGATTCATAGGTCAACACGGTCACGCACCTCCTGTGTGAGCTCAGACATGTCACCTACCCTCTCCTTGATATTCGCTCATCTGTGAAATGGGGTTCGTGATAGTAACTATTTGGCAGGGTTGCTCCAAGATTGAACCAGAGTGTCTGTGAAGGTTCTCTCCTTCCCTCCTGCTGCTGGCAGCCCGAGGGAAGTGGGTGTCCCGAGGGTGGGTCCCACACAGGCGGCCCCTTGGGCCTGTGGTGTCAAGGCCAGGTGGGCAGGCTCACCTGTTGCTGCATCAAGTGCAGAGGCAGGGCTGTGCGGTGGGGGAAGGCGGGGGACGGCGGGACGTCCTCCTGGCTGCTCTGCCCGCGCAGGCACTCGAAGTTGAAGGAGGATCTCCGGTGGGCTGAGAAGTGAAGCACAGTGACAGCTGTGAAACAGGGGCTCTGTGGGGCCCCCGGGGCTCTGGGGTCAGGGTGGGCCCCTGGACACTCGGTGGGGGGCCCAAGAGGAAGCAAGTCACACATCCAAGGAGAAGTATTAGGTAGTGAGGTCTTGGACCTTCGGGAGGATGAAGAAGCTGCCCAACTGAGGGATGATTTTAGTAGGTGTAAGTTGGTTCCTTGCAAACGTAGTGCCTGTTCTCATGGGGCGGAGCTGAAAGCTCCAGAGGGCACCTGTTCTGACTGGACGCCCCTGGCCCTGTACACACACTGTGGGGAACACAGCACTCAGGTCAAGAACACAATGTCGTTCTAGAATCCTGCAAACACCTGCTGCTGCCCCCTTCTCTCCCTGCAGGCATCCTATGTGTCTCTGGGGCCCCTGGCATCTTGCTGGTGCTCCCATGCTTATACCTGCTTTAAGGGGAGTGACTTGCTATCCGCTCAACCAGGTAAGCAGCAAATCCTTTGGTTGGGGAAGACCCAGCTTCTCTAGCCCTGAAGGCAAAACCGGAAAAGAACACCTCTGATGTTAGAGAACACGGCTGTCTCATTATCAGCTACTCAAAAGAGAGGCTCGTGCACAGGCTGAGCAATGACAAGAGGTCCCGAGTTTGTGGCTTCACAGGACACAGGGCCCAGGAGGTCGGTCTGAATTCTGGGCCCCCAAGCACAGGCCAGACGCTCCCCGCCCCGGGACAGGTCCAGCCTCGAGGGTGCTGGCCCTAGAGACACGGCATGGGGGCCTTACTGACAGTTTGCAAAGCAGGAGCCAGGTCTCCTCAGCCTCTGCTTCCTAAGATCCCAGGGCATTTCTCATGGCCCGGCAAAACTCCACACCCCGGATTCTTGTACTGGAAAACGGGCGAGCCGCCCAGGCCTCCTGGGAGTCACACGGAGCGGCAGGAACCAGGTTCTGTGAGCGCTCTAATCTAAAAGTGTGGGAAGACTGGGCTGAGCCCTGGGCTGACCCTGCCCAGTGCGGGGAGAACAGACAAGCAGCCCCGGCCACGCAGGCTTGAGGCGCCCCTATGGGGCGTGCTGGACCGCCTCCTCCTCAAGTCGCCTCTGCGGGACACAGAGAGCTGCACGACAGCTGCTGTCCTCATCAGACAGCCTGGCCTCCCTGCACCACACAGGGGCCTCCCTCGTCGGCACACCCTTGAGGACCCTCCTAGGGGCAGCCGGCCAGGGCCAGAGGCTCGGAGCCAGGAGAGGAAACCACCATCTCTCTCATTCGGGTAGTGCCCTTTGGTTTTGAAAATCCGTCCCTGGATACACTGATCATCTCGTCTGCTGTGCAGACAACCAACTCTGACAGAGAAAGGAATTCTACTGTTGCTGAGAACACAGGCAGAAGACATCCACCTTCCCCTGCCCAAGGTCGGAAGCGATGGGCAGCAAAGCAAATAAAATACGTTTTATTGATTTGCCCTTACGGATAAAGAGGGCATCTGCTCTGGCCCACTGGGGTTCCTCACTTCACTCGGGTAGTGCCTCTGAATGGTGGGCATTAATGTGGCCACCGTAGGGGACACAGGGAGGGTCCAGAGAGGGCAGGGCAGTCCACAGACAAGGGGGCCTCTGCCAGGCTCACCCACATGTCGCCCCATATTCAGGGAGCTCAGAATTGCTCTGTTCGGCAGCATGTGTTTGGGGCTGCAGAATGAAATATAAACTATGGAAATGGGTCTGATGACACTCCCCAGCAGGGCTGAGACTGCAGCAGAGAGGAGAGGGCCCTAGGCACCACCCAGCTGGACTGGTTACTGCACACAGAGTCAGCGGACTCAGAGCCAATGTGTCTTGGCTATTTTTGGTTGCTGACTGGAGTCCTGCTCAGAAATATGCGCCATTCCTCAGAAACACCAGGAACGGATATTCTTTAACCGTCACCAAAATGCCCCCATGTGCAAAATCCAACTGCCTGGCCAGGAGCTGGCAGGGGTCACGGCGTCATTTCTTACCCCAGGCCAAGTCCCTCACTGGGGGGTGAGCCACATCTCCTGCAGCCCTGCTTAGGCCACCGGTGTAAGAAAACCAGGTGGGAAACAGCTGGCCCCCTGCCTCTTCTCAGCGGGATGGGACTCCTCCAGCCCCAGGATGGGGGCGTGGACCCAACACCTGCCCCGTGAGCAAGGGCACTGGCTGACACGTGGTAAGAGGGGAAGCCCCTGGTGGGAACTGGGCAGAGATGGACACCAAGAGTCCCCAGGGGCCCCCCAGAGGCAGGGGGGTGGTGGTGCTTGGTGGGACAGGCCTGGGCTCAGGTCCAGCTCTGCACCGGGGCTGCTCACTTCCGCCCTCTGAGGGTCAGTTACCCCGTCCACAGAGAGGGCCTGACAACCCCACGCTGCCCATCGTGCCTACCCCACATGATGAACCCCAGGCTCCAAGGCAACGATAATGTGCACGAAAACCCCTCATCAGATACCACGTACTGAGCACGCTTAGGACCACATGCTGCCTTTCTCTGTGCTCAGAGTCAAAATGGCCCGGAAGTGGTTTGAGCTCAATCACGTGGGACACGGATGAGCCAGAAGGAAGAGCCGATACCCATAGGGTCTCCAACCAGGGGGCTGGTCTTGAGGACGGAGGACAGTCCCTAGCACGGCACGACCACATCTGTCACACTTCCTCGGGGCCGGGGTTGGGGAAGGAGCATACTGTTCTCTGGGAGTCTTCACCCAAAACAAAAAATCTGGCCTCACATGTCGGGGTGGGAGGTAGTAGGCGTCTCCTTGGAGATCTCCGGGAATCATAGCAAACAGGCGAGTCCTCATCCTCCAAGAAGCCTTGGGGGTGATGGTAGCCTCGGGGCCGCTCGAAGTCCCAGCTGCCGCCTGGGTATCGGCTGTAGTAGCTGTAGTTTTGCCTGGGGGTGAGAAAGGCGAGGAGAGAGCGTAAGGGGCACATGAGATCTTTGCTAACAAGCCCTGTCTCTTAGCTCAGACAGCCCCATGGCTACAGTCCTCTCCCCAGCTTTCCTAGACACCCCGACTGGCTGAGAGCCAGGCAGTCAGTCGTCAGCTTCATGGAAGATTCAGGGCCCTGGGAGAAGCTGGTCTCTCTGCCTGCCCCTCGGGCAGTCCAGGTGTCGTACAGGCGGGCCCTTGCCGCAGAGTATGAGGGGCAGGAGAGAGCCAGGCCTCCTGACGTCAGCCCGAGCCACAGAGCTGCTCACCTGGCCCCGGTCGGCGAGCAGGCATCCTCAAAGCCCTCCTCACCGCTGAAATACTCCTGTTCCTCCAAGCAGCAGGAGTCCCTGAAGTAGCCACGGATCTCTGGATCTTCCCGGCAGATAGTGGGGAACTGCTCATCCCTCGAGTCAGACCTACAGTGGTGAGAGAGGGCCCGAGCCCATGTGCCCCCAGCTTCTCCCTGGTGTCCCCAGGACTGGACCGTTCAGGCCTCTGGTGGCAGAGCTGTGTGTATGAGCATGTGCGCGTGCTGGGAAGGGGCCGCTCTCTCACTACCTTGCACAATGCTGGTGCCAAACCACCATGCCCAGGGGCCATGGAGCCAAAGGAGTGGGTGTCATTTGGTGGAACAGAACAAGGAAATGGACCTAGAGGCCTGCAGCGATCGGCAGTCCCAGGGAGAATACGCTGGGCTCCCAGGCCACCTGCTCTGATCCTTGCTCCTTCCTCCTCTGAACCGTGTACTTCAGGCTCTGGAACAAAGAGGCTCCCTGACCAGTTTCCCACTACCTCTGACCCAGGAAAAGGTGACAGGAGTTTGGGATATGGTGTCCCCGGGGAGACTCACATGCATGACACCTGCCAAGTTTTCAAAGACGGCCCTGCCCACATGGCAAGACTGTTGTGCTATCTCCCTGAAAGCTGCTATCCTGGCCTCAGTTCTCAGGAAAGCCAGCCAGGCTCTGTTACATCGACTGTCTCCAAAGAGAGGACAGTGCTCCCTCCAAGTTCTTCATTCTCTCAAGTTGCTCCTGAGCAGCAGGTTGCACTTGATATAATTAAACTAGGAGACCCAGCCTCTCTGTCCCCAACAAAATGATCATCCCGCTGACCATACAACCCGGGTCAGCAAATACGGAGCAGGATACACTGCACATATGTTGAGGGCTGCAGGGGAGACAAAGGAGAAGACCCGGTCCCTGGTCTTCAGGAGGTTGGGGTCATGCTTTTATGAAGCCCCCACAAGAGGTGTGAACCCAGCCAGCAGAGGCAGGTAGCACCAGCCTCCCAGGGCCAGGCGCCCGGGAGCGCACAGTGGGCTCTCCCCACATGGTGGTCATGGGGTGTGCCTGTAGGGGCTAGCCCATGGGCACACTGGCGTGGGAATACTAGTCCTTGGAGGATGACACAGTCTATGCACATATGGACCTAAAAGCTCCTTTGCTTAGAAAGAAACAACTACTAGCGCGCCTGGGTGGCACCGTTGGTTGAGCATCTGACTCTTGGTTTCAGCTCAGGTCATGATCTCAGGGTCATGAGATCGCGCCCCTGCGTCGGGCTCTGTGCTCAACAAAGAACCTCCTTGAGTTTCTCTCCCTCTCCCTCTGCCCCTACACGCCGCTTGCACATGCTCTCTCTCTCTAAAATAAATCTTAAAAAAAAAGAGAGAAAGAAAGAGAGAGAGGGTGGGGGGATGGGAAGGAAAGGAGGAAGGAAACGAAGGAAGGGAAGGAGGGAAGAAAGAAGCAACCACCTCTGCCTCTGGAGCCCATAGCCCCAAGCTCCACTGTCCTATGAGGTTGCTGCCTGAAAGGAAGTTCTCATCCCTCCCAGCACTGAGAGGCCAGCTGGTCACACTCACAACACAGAGTATTTAACACACAAACACAGGCAATGAGCACATACCTAATGTAAGTTTCATAATAGCGGGTTCTATCCAGGAAAGGCATAACATGGGAGGGAGGGAGGGAGAAGATAAAAGTTAAGTATTTCCAATAAAATTTAAAATGCAGATTATCAGGCTAGTTCCTAGAGCAGAGGTCAGCAAACTATGGTTTATGGGCCATATACTGTCCATGAGCTATGAACAGTTCTTACGCTTTTAAAGGAGTGCAAAAAACTCAAAGGAAGAAAAATATTACACCATGTGGGACCATGTGAAGCTCACATTGCAGTGTCCATAAAGTTTTACTGGGACACAGCCACACTCATGCATTTAAACAGTCTATGACTGCTTTCTCTCTACAAGAGCAGAGCTCGGTCACTGCAATGGAGCCCGTATGGTGCCCAAAGCCTAAAATATTTACCATCTGGCCCTTTACAAACGTTGCCAACCTCTGTCCCAAAGTATGTTGGCACCACTGGGGAAGGCAGAGTTCACAGCAACTGCTGCTATTTGAAGGGGCATCCCGTTTGGCAGGACACAGGATGGCTGGTGGCCCTTTATCCTTTGGGTTCGTCACTGGCTAGTGCCTGATGAGGCCATGAGCTCACGGCACTCACGGGTTCGAGGGTCAGGGCCTCCTGAGCATCTCCCGTGTGTGCCAGAGCACCGGGGAGAAAGAAGCGCCTTGCGCAGACACTACGTCACCAAGTGCAAACACATTTTAAAGGTTACCTTTTAATACTGGACCTTCTTGGAGGCTCCCGGTCATGCTTGTGGGAGGAGGGATGCCCATTTTCAGACATATGCTCAAGGTTCCCCATGCTGGGCCGCTTTCCAGGGGCAGCTTTGGACATATTGGCATTATTGAGATTGGCATTTGTTGAGCTGGGAGCTTGCTTTCCTATGGAATTATGGTTATGATGGCTATGACACCCCGAATTTCCTGCTGGAGGAAACAGCGGTCTCTCAGTATCACTTGCAGGTGGAACTGAAGGCCTTTGGACATGCAGGGGACGGTGGGTGGTATTGGTCTGCTGAAGGGGGTCTCTCCTATCACTATTAACATGATTGACATGGTTTCCAAGCAGGGCACCATTTCTCTGCAAAATAATGGGAGACAACACCAGGTAATTTAACAAGTATTTGATGCAGGCTAGCTTTGTTAGGTAATTTTTTTCTACACGAAACACAAATTCTAGGTAAGCTCCGTAGGATCCCTGTAAAAACAATCTGAGTGTCTCACAGATCAGGGCGGATGTGTCTGTGTGGCAGCTGGTCCCCCTGAAATGAGGAAGGTTACCGATCCCTGAGCTGGGGAGCAAGCTCTTGGCTGTCACACGAGTGTGCTCTTCACGTCGATCCAAGTTGAGGTGACTTATACCCAGCAAGGCTGACTGGCAGCCCCCAGCAGTTGAGGCTGGACAGGAGGCATGCTCTCTGGGCTAGGGGTGCTGAGGGCCAGCCCAGGGAAGAAGGGGGTAACACAGGTGGGCAGCTGCTAGCGGGACTCAGGAGGCTCAGCCACACTGGCCAAGCAGCTGTGGCCAGGCTCCTCTGAAGCTGCCAGTGTGGGACAGAGGGGCCAGCTCAGGGCAGGAGCAGGCCTGGCCCTAGAGGAGGTGCCGAAGGTCTGCTGTGGGGAGAGCATGGTCCGTGAGCCCCTCTAGGCCCGGGTGCTGGCGTGCATTCTCCAGGTTCTTTTGTGGATCACCGACTGCCCAAACTGAAGTCCTGCCCCGCTATCTCCAAGTGGCCAGTGTGTAGCTAGGCGTGGAATAATTACTTTGAATACATCTTCTTCTTCTTCTCGTTTTGTTTCCTCCGGCTCGTCATCTTGCAAATCACATGATATAGCACGCCGGATTTCTGGCCCAATGTCATGCAGTGTCCTTAATCCTGCCTAGATCAACAAAAATGGCAAAACGGATTAGACAATATGGGTGCGCTGGGCCCGGCCTGGGTCCTGGCTCTGCTCCTGCCTGATTCAGCTGTGGCGAGGGAAGCTTTCTTCAAAGGGCAACCCATGGGAGTGACTACTCGTGTGAATGTAACTGAAGGGTCCCTGAAGCCCCGGGGTTGAAGGGTGTGGTCAGGAGTTCCAGACGGTCCTAGACTAGGGTGCTCAAGGCCTCCGACCCAGTCACTTCCTTCTCACATAGCCCAACTGTCAGGGAACAGGGTCTGCCATGGCCAAGAGCACATGCCTGCATCCAAATGACAGTCTACAGAAGGAGGGCCTGCAGAGTCCTCTCCTAGAGCCCCAGAGAGGGCCAGGAGCACAACCCAGCCACTCGATGGGGAGGGTGGCCAGGACTCACTGGCCATGACCTAAGTACGGGTATGAGGGGGCAAGCTGACCAAGCAGCCAGCGGGGCCACCGGTTCTGCAAGAAAGCCATGGGAACGAGGGAGTGACAGGTGCACACACTGCAATCACCAGCACATTCAGGACCATGACGGAATGGGTCGACACGCACACAGACCCGGGCCGCTGTGCAGCGCCTGCCTCCGTGGCCATCCGTGGTGCCCTGGAGGGTCAGGCCAAGAGCTTGCCAACAGCTGGATCATCCTCTTGAAGACCACAACACATTGAAAAGGGCTCACCAGCCTCTGGAGGCTGTGTGGGACCCACCAGGTGACCCCTCCTGGCCCCTCACAGACACAGTCCTCTGCCTAAGGTCCTCACGGTTGGCTTTCCTTACGCTGGACCCCGGGTTCCACTGGAACAGGGCCTGGGAGACGCCCTTCTGTTGTTCCCAGCTTTGTTAGGGAAACACCAGAGATGATTCTGCTATACATGTGGAGGGACGAGTTGCTGGCTCTGAGAAAGTTCTGTTCTGACCATCAATTTGAAGAAAAACAGCATGCTGACTTAAAGACTAATAGGAACGGTATAGCCACTTTATCCTTTTCCACAAAAAAACTGGCATCTCAAAGAGGCACTTCCTCCCTGCCACCAGGCCTAAGTGCCCCCTGTCCTATATTTGGGCAGGACCCTCTCATTTGCTGGCAGTCCTTCTGCCACAGCGGAGACTGTCTGAGTCCTGGCTGCACAGGGCTGATCTGCACACTACATCACGGTGGTCAGCAGGGAACAACTGGGCTTAGAGGTGGGGCATCAGGGGAGGGGACCACTTCCTGGCCCTTCCTCCACAACCCCCAGCAGCAGGGAGTTGGGAGGGGAGGGGCTGGTGGGGATGGTGGCCACGGTCTGGCCAGGTCCCACAGGGCTGGCCCCCCTGGTGTGGGAATGCTCACAGCTGGTCTTCTGCAGAAGCCAGTGGTGGTGATGGTAATTTAGAAAGTAAAGTCCTACGGGAAGTTCCTAAGAAGCTCCTGTGAAAACAGCCTCCTCCTCCATAGGAGACAATGCTGTTAAAAATGGTACACCAGGCTAGGTCTGATACGATCCATTCTCTGAATAGAGGAGCAGGGCTGGGGGCGGGGGGTGTCTTTCCATTTCATGAATTGTGGGTGTGCAAGAGCTGCCTAGATTCAGAGCTCTCAGGTTCCTGGCGAGGAATGCTGTGGTCTCGTTGGAGAAAGACACACGTGTCCTGCCACCAAACCCAGAATAGTTCGTGGTATTGTCAGTGAGGCTACCTCTCACTCTCCTGTCCCTCTGACCACAGGCACGAGCTGCACGCGCACAAGCATACACATACACGCTCATGTAGGCGCACACACACGCTTTCCCTCGCTCAGGATCCCCAAGTCTGGCACATCTGAGCCAGGGGAATCGTCTGGCTTAGACGCGGACCCACTTGCCATTCTCTTGGAAACATCGAGAAGGCGACGCTAATGTCCAGTGGGGGAGAGCTTTTTCACCCAGAGCTGCGGGCCTGTGCAGGAAGGTCCAGCCCAGCAGCGTTGAACAGCCTGCAGCTCATTCGTTCAGTGTTTCCCAGGGCACAGTCATCAAGGGAAGATTAGCTAAGCCAGGATTTCATTGTCTGGTTTTGGATCACTGGAGGAAAGGCAGATCTGAGGCTCCCAAATCAAAGACCAGGTTTGAGACACCTGCTGTCGTGTCTATAAGATAAACATAGGTGACAAAGCACTAAGTCAACACCCCCAGGTAAATTATATATATGAGCCCATCTCACGAGGCACCACGGGCTTGGAATACCCCTGAGTTTGAAAAAAAAAAAAAAAAAACCAAAAAACAGATAATCCTATTCACTGTTATTCAACAATTTGGACTAGGTCTGATTAAAAGAAATAGAAAACTATTTATTTGGATAATTTTTAACATCATCCACTGTTGGCGGGTTGACATTTCACTGAAATACACATATAACATAATTGCATAAGAAAAACAAAAATGGTCTCCAGCAGGTCTTCGATGGTACACAAGATCAGGAGAGTGTGGTGAACAGACACAGGACAGAGAATTTGTTTGCAACATAAATCATGGAGAAAACTGAGAGGTGGCTCAAGAGGCCCCTTCTGAGGACAAATAATGACAACATATTTATTAAAGAGACATTAGAGGAGGATAAAAAGCATCACTCTTCGACATGAAAGCAGAGGTTTAGAAATCATGGTTACGTTTTGCTCACACCACGCAGGAAGAAACACATCTTCTAAAAGTCAGGGATTGACCTGACTCTTTCACATGGGATCTGGGGAAGGACGCAGGGGGGATGGGGCATACCGAGGGGTGGTGGCAGGGGTAGGGTGTCTGCCAGGGGAGGGTGCCAGGAGTGGGGTATCTGCCGGGGGGTGTCAGGGGTGGGGTGTCTACTGGGGGTGTATGTCAGGGGTGGGGTGTCTACCGGCGGGGGGGATGTCAGGGGTGGGGTGTCCGGGGGTGGTGGTGCCAGGGGTGGGTTGTCTGCCAGGTCTGGGAAGGTGGGAAACAGAGGTTCCCAAACTTGAACTGAAATGAAGCTTAAACACAGCACCCTGAATTTATTACATATCACAAAACATGATAATGAAATTTTTCTAGCACACATATCAAGCTAAAAGGTAGCTTAGGCTGCTCCAAAATTTCCATAGGCACGAGTTCTGATCCCAGAAAACTATCTTAAACTCTTGAAAAAATTACTTTTTTCCACAGTCCTAAGAAAAAGAACATTCTTTTCCCTTGAAATAAACACTTCACAATCAGTAAAATGAGCTATTCTTTCATTTTTCATATCGGTGTCTACCTCTATCGGCAAAGTACTACTTTAATTTGAAACTTGGTCATTAGCACTTAAACCAACATAATTAAAGCCATATAAAGTCATTCCATTAACATCACAGAATTATGGTTTTGAATAAACACAGAATTGTTATAAAATAGAAACATTTTTAAGATGTCCAATCATATAAAATATTAAACAGAATCAAGCCTAGTTTCTGGTTGATTTTTAAATGCTAGATGGTATCATAAATATCTTTTAAAAAAAGAAATGTTGGCGCTTTGCCTGCAGACTGCTGCTTTAAATTTTAGACACCATTTAACTGGAATTTTGTACATATTTACTCCATAGATGATTAAGTCACCAAAAAAACCAAAAACAAAAACAAAAACCAAACTACAAAATCTAAGTATCTCTGAAGCAATAGCATAAAAATATGGTATTTGAACATCAAATAGGAACATTCGTTTACCTTCCTTTCTCTTGCCCACTCTTAGGGTCAGATTTTCCTACCTGGGTGTGTGAGAGATCCTGCCCTCGTCGCCTTCCTAAGCTAGCTCCGTGAGACCCACCAGGAGCTGCCGGCTCTCAGCGGCACAGCAAGCCCAGACAAAGGCCAGAACCCCTCCTGAACCTACACTGTAACAGTGGAGATAAGAGATGTGAGTCTCCAGTCGGACCCGGCCAGGCCATTCATCTCTGGATGTGAGTGCCAGGCTTTCAGACTCCAGCCAGCGAGCCCCTGTCCGGCAGAGCCTGCTCTCCATCACGGGCTTCGCTCAGCCAGGCCTGGCCTTGCACACTCATCTCCTGAAGGGCAAGTGCTGGTGAACCCTTTCGCGGGATTCAGCCCTACCCAATCAGAGGGCACGGTTTCCGAACTAGCTCCATCAGAAGAACGAACTGGAGGTTCAGCTCTTAGAGAATAAACCAGCCCATCTACAAGCTGTCCCCCACCGCCTCCGCATACACAACACACATGGGCACACCCCTTCTTTTGTCCTCCTTTTCCTCCAGGGAAAATGTGACAGTGTAGCTTTGTGTCCATTACGCACAGTTCTTGAGTCATGCATCCAGGGTGAGAATCATGAGCACGGCACTCCGTGGGCCACCCGCGGGGATTCTGACCCTCACTGAAAAGTCAGCTGTAACGTCACCACAGAAGTTCCTCTTGGGGCTGCGCTCAGCAACACACATCAATTTCCCACCACTTCGAAAGGTTAAGGAAGGTTTTCTTAAAATTACCTAAAGGGACCTATGACATTTCCCTGTGAACGATCTCACAGAGCTCTCTGAGCAACCTCGATTCTTGGCTGAAGTTTAACACCAGAATCTGAAATTCCTGCGAGTTTCCTGATAACAGAGTATTACTTCAATTTAAGCTCAGCAGATACCTTAAATCAGGAGCTCTAGTCTGTTAGCATCTCTGTAGCTGTCATAACAATCTCCCAACCTTTACCCCACCACATCCCGGAAGGCCAGGATTATCCCCATTTGGTTGAGTGGCCTGCCCTACCTAGCGAAGGCTCAGCTATGACTCAGGTCCCCAGGCCTGTGGTTCCCATGAGGCCCTGCTGGCCTCACCCAGGCCACCACCAAGACAAAGTTGTTGAGTCTATGGGAAAGAGGGCTGGGATCAAGTCTGAATTGTGTGCTCACTTAATGACTGTGACCCCACTCAAGTTTAACCTTCTTCCAACTAACTTAGCAGAGCTCTTGTATCACTAAGGCCACATGGAAATGACCAGTGATCACACATCCTTGTCTCG